AAAACATTCAAACCTCTTTATAACTATTTTATTACATATTAAATTTTTAATCAACAATAGATGCTTCTCTGTATTTCTTCATCTTCTGTTTACCATCTTTGTTAAGCTTCGCAGCATTCGTCAACTCGAATGTGCTGGAAGACAGTGTAAACAACAGTTGTATAACAATTGTAAACAAGACAACTGTAAGTAATTCCTTTGCTACGGTAATTTCCAAGTTACTCGTAATCACTTTACATTATCCTTTATTTATGTTCAGTGACCAATTCTATTTATAATAAGTGTCTATTGATTGCTTAGAAGAATAAAGAAAACTACCATTCAATTTCCTTCAATGCAAAACATTAGCAGATTCTATTTGAATACTTTCGATATTTTACTTCACTTCTGACATAAAATGCTATTTGAAAGCTATTTAAAAAACTGTGAAGAAGACTAATTGACTGTACGAAGGTATCTCGCGGGAAGAAAAGAAATATAACCTTGAATTTTCAAGTATGGAGTTTAAAATTTCTCAGAAAATTTTATATCGAGTTTAGGGTCGATTTATATATCGTCAGAAAGTCGACTTGATCGTATTTTAAAAGCAGTAAATTTTCTAAAACATGCAGACGTTTGCTTTTAAGTGAAGCTTAAATTTACCTTGCAAATTTTATGAAATTGATTGCATTTTCGATTTTATAGAATTTACATTAACTAATCTACAATGGGTAAAATTATTAAATCCTTCCAACTTAGATTTTCATATCGTATAAATTTGAAATTTATATTTTACATTTGATTTTCCTACTAATTTGCTTAAGAATTTTTAAAACTGAACATTCAAAACATTCAATTCCAATTTTTAACTAATCGATATTTCAATAATATCGATTTTATCTGTTTTAATTTCAATCTAATTTATTTTACGAATATACGAAATTTATAACTAAATGAAAATTTGCAACAGATATTATATTTAGACCTATATTGATATTATATCACTTATTTATGTATGAAAATAAAATAATAAATTACTATTTCCATGAGAATGGCAATTTCAATTTTATGGAATAAGTTAACACTAAATTTTGTCTGTACGGTAAAATTTTGATCGTAAAACACATCTATATCAAGTTTTATTATAACTAAAATAAATAATAAAATAAGAATATCAAAAATTGAAGAGTTTACATAACTTAATCATATTTCTTAACATCATTTTTATTTAGTTTTATATAAAAATATAACAGGAAATAATATTTTTCCTTAAAAGAAAATTTATTTCTTTAGCAATTTTAATTCAATCACCTAAAAAAATTATAATCAATATAATTATTAAAATTAGAAAGTTGTTATAATTTAATAAAATAAACTGGTACCATTCACTTAATTATAAATTAATTTAATTTACAAACTATAAAATTTACAAAGTTTTTAAAATAAATATTAAAATTATCAATTGAAAATGCTTCGTGTAATTAAATCATTAAACTAAATTAACAATTAATAAATAAAATTTAATTTTTCATAGTAATTGAGCTATAAAAAAATTTTAAAACATTTTCCGATAATTTCACATATGTAAATATGATGCTACATTTTCTGTATTTTATTTGTTTTTAAATTTCCTTAAAAAAATATCTTTGAAAGGATTTTTCTTTTCAAAAATATCGAAACATCTGAATTATCTAACGTTTGTACTTTCCTGACATGGTTGGAATTGAGTGCAGCAAATGCAATTTGATTCAAAACGCAATTTTGATACTCTTCGTCACTTTCACAGTTTGTTAAGGAAGAAAAACTAAATCCTAAAATATCAAGAGTTTATTATAAGAAATTTTAGATGCATAAGAATCTGATCTTTTAAAATTTATAAAATCAGAATAAAAATTCAAGAAAAACAAAATGGAATAAAATTGAGACGTTCTTATCTAAACCATTATTATTTTTTTGTAAACTATTATATTACTTCTAAAATTTCAGTTGAGAAAATGGTGATAATGTAAAAAATGCAGTATAAAATAATATCATATGATTAATTTGATTAAACTTAAACTATGAGACCTTTCTATATACTGTACAGTACGTCAGAATAGAAAATTTAGTCTGTTTTTCTAAACTATGATTGATTTCGATTTAATTCTCTACTTAAAATCGATATTGTTAGAATTAATGTCAATATTCGAAGAAAAACAAGATTCTTCAAGTGGTACATTAAAATGTGACAATTTTGGCGTCACGTAGAGACAGGCGATCGTTAAAATTTCATTATTAAACCTCAGGCATTGTCATCCAGGCAACGACTTGGTTTAGTTGTTTGTTCTTTTCTGTACACTTTTCTCTAATGGTGCACAGTTTAATGGCGCCGTTTCTGTGCTAGTTCCTATCACCATGGAAACCAACCGAAGATGGAGAGGAAGAGATATCGACCTAGAGGATGCACGTGTACTGACCTGCACGGATGCAAGGTTCCAATTAAATGAGATTTGCCTAGCAGAAATGCACACATGCATTTAGATCTGTCCTTCTATAAACTCTTATCATCTCCTTTCTTTATTAATAATTTAAGTGCTGAAATAACTGGATTAATAAATATGTCGGTTATTTTTGGTAACAATTAGTAAAATTATTTTCTAAACATCGATTTTTGTGGATGATTAAAGGTTTCCAAAATGTTTAAGGTAATAAGATATTGTTAATTTTTATAGTGGTCGCACATCGCAGTTAATATTGCGTAAGAAACAAATGCTTATACGATGTGAAGATGACAAGATGTAGCACGTCAAGTCAACATACCAGACCCTATACCACATAGACGCCATGATAGGATACTCGGCAAAGTAGAAATTGTCATTTCTGACGAAACTAAAATTATGTCGCCATTCTCGGTATCTTTATCTACGTCTAGGATTCGTTACGATTTACCTACCGGACTGGTTGTCTTCCACGACTAGTTCAACCCACGTGTAGGAACAGAACATGGCTCGACGACACCGCAGTCTGACGTCGAATGAGGACTGAGCAAGCGCACAAAGAAAGTGGACGTTGACTCTAAGGAGGGTGGATGATTCCTATCGAAGGGGTGTTGCTAGCAGAAGAAATCGATAAATCCAAAGTTTCAAACTACGTTATTTCGAATAAACTATAGTGTTATCGAGTGTTCATAACTTGAATATGCGTGGCTTAAAATCTCTTTAATAATTGATGGAACATGTTTACAACTTATGGAAAGTTTCTTGTTGAAACTTTTAGTTTGATAAATGTTGCTATATTCACGCTATGTACTATTTATGCGTGACAAATGTCAGGCACTCGAATCGTTCCGATGGAGATCTGCTACATTCCAGATGGACATTGCATGTTGAAAAGTTCTCCTAGTAATATTATCTAAGAATTTTTCATTGAAGTATAAGCAAACCTACGTGCAATGTAAATATATACTTTCAAATGGATATAGTAATCATTTGCAGCAACCAAATGCGATATAGACCTAATGGATAACGAATTTTATAAATATTTCACATAAAAAATATCGAAATTTGATAGATTAAGACTTTCATTTCTAATACTTTTTAATTAATCTCTTGGGAATATTTAGATGCTACGGTTTTAAATATTAATTTAAACTTTTGAAATATAAAATAATATTTTATGCATGTGTTTTTAAAATAAAATTGTTCTAATTTTATTTACTTACAATATTAAGAGGTAACATTTATGTCGCTAATCTAGAATATAATTTGTAAAATTTTAAATTTATTTGGATAACTAAGAGCAATGGTATTGATCATTCTGAATGAAACTGTAATTTCTAGAAGGGAAAAAATACACATATTTTTTATAATTAATATAATTATACATAATTAAGCTGAAAATTTTAATTCGTGCAACATGATTTGAATGTAGAATGTCTGGCTTAAATCTATAACTACTAAAAGATTAAATTAGAAAATATAAATTTTTAGACAAAAATTTTAAATTCTCATAAAAATTCTAATTGAAATTTCATTCGCATCAAAATATTTATTCATCTATAAAATTCCTTAATATATTTTTAAGATTATTGCACTGTGCATCAAAGAATATTGTTTTTTCGTGGCATCTTATTTTTCTAAAAATTACTTCTTTTAGGAAAGTTCACCTGCACTTTTGGAGATGGTGTTGTTGGTGATTTTCTTTATTGGCTAGAAATGCCTTAAAATAATAATCCAATCTTTTACCATAAAGCTTTGACATTATTTGATTTTTGTTTATTTATTCCCCTCTGGAAGCGAAACAATTTTCATTGGATTTTTTTCTATCTGTTTTATATTTTTGTCTTGACTATAAAAAATATTTTCAAATTTAGTAAATGGAATTCGGCAAATGTCAATGTTAGTCATCAAGGAATTTCCTCTAGGTGCAAGCAGTTTCCCGTCTTCTCATGATCTTGATAGCATTATATTGCATTCTACTCCAAGCCTCGAGGATCTGTTCTTTCTCTTATAATTTCTAATCACATATATCCATTGCTATAAATACTTTTCCGATATTTCTTTTACTTCCCTTATACACTGAATTACAAGTCTATTTTCTTTCAGAAACTCATTCTCTAAATTGTGAAAATGGCCTCATATCACCTGCAGAAAGCTTTCCTTAATTAAATTAATTTCACAATGTTTTTTTTTCTGACTTAGTTTTACTTACAGAGTGAGTATATTAATCTTTTTAATTTACTTTTCCTAGAATGAAAAGGCACATTGCATCAACAAGAAAAAAATAACATATTTTACTAAAAAATAAAAAATTCAAGTAAACAAACACGTGATAAAACACTTTTAGTAACATAAAAGAAATTTAAATTTTTTAATATAATTTTATATTCTATATTTCTAATTCATGTATTAACTATGGAAAGAAAACTATTCGAATTCGGAAAAGGCAGATTTGCCCAATTATATTCACTCAACTGTATTAATGAGAGAATCAGAAATTTTTGAACAAAAAAAAACAAATAAAAAATAATTAAAAATACTTACCTTGAAATTTTGATCCGTCTCTGCGGACAGATGACCTTCTGATTTCAGTGTTTTGAGTCTGCGTGGGATAAGGTCCTCGTGTTTCTCCTCTACTTTTACGCCATCTATTGGACATCGATGGAACCTGTCTTTCTGCTCTCACTGGAGCGTATCTACCCTGATAATTTGCATCTTGCATCATCATTTCTTGCAATTCATCATCTGGCCATTGTGGATCCGATTCGCTCGGTATAGGAGAGAGTGGATCTGTATAGTTAACTCTTCGTAAATCGGCAACGTCGACGGATCTACTGGACGGTAAGCAACCGATTCGAGGATGTTTCGATTTCTGTTCGTCTTGAGATGCAGATTTTCTCATTCCTCGACCCACCGATGATCTTTGCTCTTGATTATCCGATTTCTTATCTCGTCCACTAGTATTTCTGAGTGTAAATCTTCTGATACTAAACGGCATTTTAAAGCTTTGGGAAAAGAACAGTTTCTATCAGTTTTGAATGTCAAAATGAAAATGAAATTTCAAATACGTTATTCTCAGATAACAATTTCATTAAATATATTTAAAAACTTTCAATTATTATAATAAATTTATGAATCGTTAAATAAAATTATTTAAAATGAAAGTAAAGAAAAATATTTACGGAAGTATCATTTATTTCAATTTTTTTTTCATATACTGTATGTACGAGTATATACAGGATCGTATCCAGGGGGTGTTTATGATGCTGCCATACTCCCTTCATATTAAAGCAATCAGTTTTGTAACTTTAAAATAAAAATAAATATAATAATCCACATCGCTTGATTTCAATTAGATTATATTAGGTAACTAAGGTAATTCTGTGGTAATTAAGTAACATTCATCGAAAAACGACAGGAGGGACATGCCTTGGTCTCCTTCGAATCTGACTTAAGCAGCAGTCATATTCTCAAAACCTTGGATACGCGCGTGTGTATATATATATATATATTTGAATGTGTTAATAAAGTGTTTTTATATTTAAAAGTAGGAAAGGCTTTATTACTTAAAAAATAATTTTAGAATATTTTTGTTAGGCTTTACAAGTAAATAATTACAGTAATAATTTTTAAAAAATAACCTGAAAATATGTCGTAATTATAATTTCAAATTAATCATCTAAATCGACTTTATAAATCCTATATCAAAATTTAAACTCTCATTTATAATATAAAACAGTAATGAATCAATCATTTCAATTCTGACTTTATTATTATAATTTTTGTATCAAAATAATTGATTAAATTTATTCAATTTTATTATATTATTTTTTAAAAAATAAACTACAGAAATTAAATTGACTAAACTGTTTTAGTTGAGCTATTTACTCGTAAATGAATAGCGTCTCAAATTTTATATAAACTTTCTAAACTTTTCTGAACAGAAATGTTTGAGCTTTAGTATATTTATACAGGTTATCGTATTGACTATATAACTAATCAAAGTTAATATAGAACGCATTAAAGGCCAATCAGCAAGCATAATCTAAAGGTCAGATGTCATTGATTGCATATCAAAATATGCAGTTGTTTCCTTTCTATTATCGATTGAGAAAGGCATTTTCAATTGTCTAAAATATCGAACATCGAATCCCAAAGATTAATGGTCGAAGTTTCTAGTTAATTTTAAATGGCATTAATTTATTTTTAAATAATTGATCCTAATTAAAATTATAATATATATAGTTTTATTAAATACCCTTTGATTATTAACTGTGGGAATGATTATTTTATTAAATGCTATATGTATGCTTTATAGTTAATAAATTACAAATATAAAACTATTTTCACTTCAGTCGTTTATGTAAAAAAAAATTACTTTTTCCTTTATTACTTTATATAAAAGCTAAAGCGAGTGATATGCTCTACCATAAAATCGAAGGAAAAGCCAACAAATATAACCTGCCTTTAAGAAGAAATAGAACAAAAATATGCTGCATTATTGAACGAAAGATTAAGCAAAAAAGTGAACTGAGACAAACAGAACAGCTTATTATTATAAATTCATTTTGATTTTCAAAAATAAAACTGTAAAGTTAAAACAAATAACTGCTGAGAAAATACACGTTTGGAACGTATTTTTTAATTACCAAACAAATATTAACTTAATAAATTTTCGGTTTAGTCAAATTATCTCTTTATTTATTTCTAAAATGTAAAATTTTATAATAAATATTAAATTATTATTTATGATTATGGAAGATACGTTGAATAAAATATAACCGTTATTAATAATTGAAATGCTTATCATTACCTGTGATTTTTATTAAATTAAGTTACGTTAAATTAAGTTAAAACTCTCAAGATGTTATTAATCACATTTTTAAATCAAATAAATAGTTTTCTTTTTAAAACATGAAAATAGTTAAAGTGATTTAAAATAAATGTCATTAATTATTCTCATTCTAACATTTTCTGTTGGCAACTTGCTTTTAGCGTAATGGAAAGACGTGACATCGCTCAGGAATATATTTTCACTTCCAAGAAGCTCGCGATCGACTGACTGAGATGTGATGATTAAATAATAATGGCTCACAGTTATCGGATTATTTTGCCTTATGTAATGTATTCTAATTCATGTTGTATATATTATACATATATCTACAATTATTTTATCGAGATTATAAATTATAAGATAATAATCATATTATATCGAGAACTTTTATATCACTTTTCTTAATTTAATATCTGATTTCATCATTAGGCAGTATCAAAAGCTTTACATTTTTCCTATTGAATGTTCTCATACATAATATTAGATTAATTAATAATTTCAATAAATAATTATTTATTTGTAAAGAAATTGTTGCTGATTTATATTTTATTAATATTAAACATGATTACGAGATATTGTTATTCATTCTTAAAATTATAAATTATTTTTAATTTTTTACGTATATTAATACTGTAAAAATAAAAAAATAAAATGCATATTTTTCAAAATAGTTAAAGGGATAAATTAAAATGTTTAATTAAAATATCGCTATTAATATTCGGGGCTACGTACAGTATAAACTACCTCGGCCCGAAGGGATCCAGAAGACTTANCCAACCATATAATTTTGAGAAAAGTTTTAAATAAAATAGATCTTAATTTCGGTGTCTGAATATCGAAAAATTATTATATAGTAGGGAAAGAAACGATAGAATGTCGGTCGATCTCTCGACGCCCCATGAGTATTTTGCTAATAAGAAATTTTAATAAATCATAATAAACAGTTTCTTGGTTACACTTTAATAAAACAGAGTCAGAAAGACAAGAACTATTGTATTTAAAATTAATTTAAACTATCGCGATAATATAGGCTACACAATTACTATTGCAAAAATTTCAAGCTCTATCAATTCCTTGTTTTTTAAAATTGACTGTTGATAAGTAATGGAAGTAGAATGTGTTCTAATTTATTTTGAAAGACGAATTCTAATTCGTTAAAGATTCTGAAACGAAGCCTATGATAGTAATTCATTTGGACAGATATTATAGAAATGAAATCTAATGATCTTAATCTGTCTCGAATAGAAACTTCTCTCTTTTTTTCATCCTTATCTATTGTGTCTGGCATCTTTGCCAGACTAAAATGAGTGGGAACAGTTGCAAGTGAACACCCGCATACAATAAATACAATTGAGACAAACCATTTAATCCATGTATACTGACGATGTGTTACAAATCAAATTGATCTGTCTATAATTGAGAAACGAATATGTATATTTTTTTATTTATTGCAATTTGATAAATTTTATTAAATTTGATATTAACAAATTCATATTTATATGTTTTAAACATAACATTTAACTGACATAATAAAACTGCCAAAATACTTATGATTATAACATTATTGTCAATGTAACTTTTACCAAACAAAGTTACGTTCGTCATATTTTACCTAAAGAATTCCATACGGATAAATATTTAAAATTTTCTTTCGTATGAAATTTTTACATGAAATTCTATGAAATTTGTATAAATATTCTTTAAATAAATTTATTTTTCAATAAAATCGAAAAATAAATTATTTTTATTAAAAAAATGAATTTTCTAATTTTATTAAAAATAAAACGTCTATTGCTTTGCAATTAACATAAAAACTTAGGATCTTCTTCAACATTTTATTACTAATCAAATTTTCAGAAAAGAATTATTTAAAGCTTGCTGTTTCGGGTCATATTATCCATTAAGTAGAAAAAACAAAATGCCTAGAACCTAAGAAAACATTTGTAAACTAAAATTTAAAATAAAAAAAAATCAATATTTATTCTTAAATTGAATATACTTATCTAAGGGTATAAATTACAAAATAATATGTATCCTTAGGTAATATTGTTGCACGTATTCATTACAAATTTAATTTTATAGCAAAATTTAAATTGCTAAACTTTTAAGGAATATGATTACAGTATTAGCAAACAGGAACGAATAAAATGTGTTTCAATTTTCAACAATTCTTGCTAGAATTTTTGTTCAAGATAGCATAATCATTTTATACATATAATTACAAAAATATTTTTAAAAAATCAAAACGGCACTTGGCCTATACATTTGGCATCATCTATATATATAAAGGAATAAACATCGAAAAATATCAGACATAACCAATCGGAATTAACAATTCATCTAAGGCACGTGATCAAACCGGAAGTTTCCCCATTATTTGTCTCTGGCTTCGAAGATTTAATTCACTAATATACAACGCATTTTTATTTAAAAGTTTGTCGTAATCCGGACGATAATAATGGTGACGATCCGATTTCGTTACGGTGCGGTTCTATTTTGCTTTTTAAAATTTACTTTCTTAATTTTTTAATTAAAATTATTATGTTATATAAATTTTTTATCCCACATACCAGTCGTGCTCATAGCCAATCAACGCAATTCATTTTAAATTATTTTTTTATAATCATGGGATTATTCATAAATTAAGTAACACAGATATAGGTAGCTGAGGTATGAAAATAATCGTTACGATGCCTTACAACGGAGTGGGGGTTTAAAAAGAAACATTAACTTAATGCTAGGATTTCAACCCTTGGATAAAAAATGATTTGTTTTTGAAGAGTCGGCTAGCGAACCCCTACTGTTTATGTCACTGCTTTGTAGTACATAATTAATAAAATAATGCAACGTTCATACCCCATGCTATGCATTATTTCTTACAAGTTAGTAAAATTAGGGTTTCGATTTATAACATGCGTTACGTAATTCTGAGGATATATGCGACGAGTTATGGAGCGTTACAGGGTGTTGTGTAGTAATAGAAAAGTATAAAATTAGCGCTATATAAGTTATGGACTATCCCATACATCCAAACATTAATTCCTGCAGATCCTAAAGATCTTTAAATTATTTAACTAACAAAGATAAATACAATCTACATTAAAACTTAAAAGAAATTTAATATATTAGAGGCGTGATCTAGTAGCAGCGCGCTTGCCAATAGTTAATATT